TATGGCACTGTGCTGCCCCAGGTGCTGGTGCCCACGTCTCACCTAACCCTGCGCAGCGCACCGCCCCCCTCCCCGCAGCCCGGTCTCCCTGGCTTTGTGCAGCCATACCAAGGAGAACCTGTCCGGGCTGCTCCACGTCCCAGGAGCTGGCTGATAATTAAACAAAAACAAAATAGCCTTGGCATGAAACTTGACCTTTCCGGAGCTTGGGAGTTGGGGGAGGGGAATTTTGCATCATTTCGGGTGGTGGTTATTTTTACGCATTGTGTTTGTTTGGTGGAGATCTCTGTGCCAGGGGAGTGGGGAGTCCCCATGCTCCGATGATGGGCTGGGACGTGGGACACAAGGTCCAGGCTGACCCTTCCCATGGCACATCCGTCCTGTGGCCCAGAGATGGAGAGAAGCACCATCCAGCCGGTGTCCTCCAGGATAACAGACAAGGTCCTCTCGGATGGAGGGATCTCAGCGCTGGAGGGATGCCGGTGCCCAGGGTGTGCTGGCCATGTCCCCATCCCTGCATGCGAGGGAGGCACCCAAGCCACCTGCACCCCAGCTCAGAGAGCTGATCCCCAATTTTCAGCACCCTCTGCTTTATAAAGAGCCCAGCAACGCCGAAGTGCCTAAACGGCTTCCAGAAAGGGGCTTTGCTTGGCTTCTCCCCGGCTCCTGGCTTTGAGGGGTCCCTCCCCTGCACCCAGACCGTCCCTGTCCCCGTGCCCTGCTGCACCTCCCAGCACAGGGCTGCCATCTCCTCTGCCCACACCCAACAAAGTGCAGCAGTAAATTAATCTTCAACTTGGTACCCGGGATTGTTGCCGGGATTGTTATTACGCCGTGTCCTGCCCCACGCGGCATTAATGATTAACACCTCCAAGTTCAATGTCAGCTCCTGCCTGTTCCCTTTTGAATAGCTCTTCCATCACCTCTTCTGATATCCCGACAAATAACTGGGGCGCGGAGCTGCCCAGAAAGCATCCTTGGGGCTGGGTGGACACCCAAGATGGTTTATCTCTGGGGTAGGGAGGAGGAGGAGGAGAAGGAAGGCTGTGCCAGGGAAAGGGTGCATTGCCTCACTTAGTCCTTCGGGGCCAGCCCGTGCCCTTCGAGGATGTCCTCTCCTCCCTGATCCAGGAACCTCCCGGCCAGGCTGTGACGGCGGAAATCCCCCACACCCGCCACTCCTTGAGCAGCTGCTGCCGGATGAGTTTGCTTTTGCTTCTCCTTCACTCCCTTTATCAGCACAAACCCCAAGAGCTGCGATTCCGCCTCCCGCGCATGATGACCGCCGACCCTCACCAAAGCTCATTCCCAGGAGGGAGGAGGCAGCTCGTTTTTTCCCAAAGCGCTGAGCGCTGCCCGCTCCCTGCCTGCACGCAGCCCTCTGCCACGCGGGGTTGTGCCCTGGGACAGGCGATTCCCCGCACAGTCCTGGGACTTTGGCCCGTGCGCGGCACCCATCGTGGCATGGCGAGGACTGCACAGGGACCCCTTGGGGCTGCTGGGGGTGGGGTGGGTGTGAAAAGGCATCTCTTCAGTTATCTACCATCCCCATATGGCTGAGGGGGGCTCCAGCCCCCCATTTTCCCCACCCTGTACCCATGGGGATGCTGCCCCGTGGGGGGCTGGCGGGGAGGTGGGGGATGGATCCAACTCAGCCTCCACCCCACGCACCGGCCTCCGAAGGAGCAGCTCAGCCTTGAGCCTTCCCGCTCCCTGAGCAGGGGGGAAATTCCCCGCATGGGCTCCGAACATGGCTGCTTCCCGCAGGGAGAAGGTCCAAGGTCCAAGGCTGCTGCAGGAGGGGGAAATGCAGTGAGATGAGGCCGGTCCCCATCGCATCGGGGCTTGCGGGGCTTCAGCAGACAGGATGAGGCTGGAGGTGCCACACCATTCCCGGGGGGCTCCAGGTGGGTGGGGGGTCTGCGTGCACCCATTTCCCTGTCCAGAGCAAACCCCGGAGCACGGGGACCAAACGCCACCCGTTTGCTGAGCCTGGCCCTGATGGTGACCCCAGCTCTGCTGCCCGGTGTCCCCACACACAACCGGGTCTCCCTCCCTGCCATCCTCATCAGCTCCCCAGCCGGGAGAGGGGCAAACCTGACCCAGGAGAGAAGCAAAGTCTGCCCTGCCCTTCGCTGCCGCCGGCTCTGCCCATCCCAGAGGGTTTCTGCCTGCACCGGTGCGGGCTGGTCGGCACCCACACAGGGGTTGTTGCCCACGGTGGGTGGCACAACCCATGGCCAGGGAGCACTGAAGGGGTGCTTGTCTGGGGACAGCAGTGACCCGGGCTCAGGCAGGCGGCAGTGCAGTCCCTGCCAGGGAGACTTTACCCTCCTGCTCTTCCACCACCCCATGTCACGGGTGGAAAAGAGGAACCCCCACCCCGGCACACACACACACACACACCCCGCCAGCTGCCTGGGCACCTCGAGCCCAAGAACGCCTTTCCCAGGGGGCAATAAGGAAGTTTTTCTTTGCTACCACGTGCCCCCAGGGGATTTTTTGGCCTCGCGCTCTGATGGCACAACTGTCAGCTGTTGGGGTGCTGCCAGGCATCCCTGGGGGGACGAGGCAAGTCGAAGGGTTACAAGGTACAGAGGTGCCTGGTGGCACCCACATGGGTCGGTGGGGATGAGGGGGTGGGCTAGG